ATTCTTCGGGCAAACGCACCGATAGTTTCGCTGTATGGGTAGACACATGTGAGTGCACCGGGAGTTTAAGCACCGGTTCGTGCCATTCATCTGCCGGCGACTGTCCATCACTTTCACGCCATAGATATAGTCATTGGCGGTGACGAGTGTCAACCATTGGGTGTCGTTTAGCACCTCATTGTTAATCATATGAATCGCTTTAGTCTTATGATTAGTTAAATAAATATTTTGGTCGAATACGTCCATTGAAAGGGTGCCATAGAAAAAGGCCGGCGATGAAAGTATTACCCTTAAGTCTAGTCCCGTATAGTTCACTGAATACATATATCCATTAATTATATCGACCCAATAAACTATCTGTCCGTCAATATCCAGGGCTATAGTATTGGGCATTTGTGTGTCATCTGATAGCACCATGGGTTCGGAGCCGTCCTGATTGGCCCGCATTATACGACCAGAGTATTCAGTTTCGTTGAGATTGTGTGTCCACTGCGACCAGAATAGCAGTCCGTGTATGGGATCGACCGACACATCTCCCTGTGTTTGGTTGTGTTGTATCACATCATAGCTGTAATACTGAGGATCTGTGCGAAAGGCAATCACTTCCACCCCTTTATATCCCGATATGTAGACCAAGTCGTGGATCCAATCGATGGCCAATCTCTTTGAGCTGTAAGTCGTTTGAAACCATTTCTGCGGTTTTGTAAACACGGATGGCTTTGTCGGGTCTATCGGCGCCCCATATATGGACACATATTGAGTCCAACTACTGTCCAGCCATAGCATGACATTTTTGTGGTCAATATAATCCACCTCGGCAATATTAGTACTCGGATCTTGATGCAATTTAATCGATTCATATAGTCTGGTATTCATATCATACAAGTTTGTCTTTAGGTAAATCCCTTTATTATAGACAGTAAACAGTAATTGTGTTTCGTTGTCCGATAGAGTGGCCACAATATTCACAAATATTATTAAGAAAAAACTTATTTTAATCATATTTGCTTATTTATAAAATTGTTTACTGAAATAATAAATGCTTAAATCAATCGTGCTCAATATATCATTGAATTTTAATCAAGTATTCTTTTAAGCATTATATTATCTACATTATATTTATATTGTGAACAATTTATGTGCTATTTTATTAAAAACATTAATAATAAATTCATAATAATTTGAGCACTTCCAGTTAAATTTAATATTTATTTAGCATGAGAAAAATATTTGAAATTGTTTGAATTGATTAAAAAATAAAAAGAAATAAATATTGAATTATATTTTAAAATTTAATTGTTAAACTATTAATAATTAAGCATGATATTTGAAGCATGATTACATTTACAACTGTAGACTTGTAGCATAAGATTTATTGATAATTATCTCAATTAAATATAAATAATTGTTAATTTTTACACTGCATACAATGTTAATAGGTTGATGAATACTGTATACAGTCAATTAATCGTCTGAACTATACTTATGTAAATCATTACAAATCATCGTGTTGATGTGATTTGCATTCTTATCACAAACGCACTGATAGTCTCGCTGTACGGGTAGACACATGTGAGCGCAGCGGGAGTTTGAGCACCGGTTCGTGCCATTCATCTGCCGGCGACTGTCCAACACTTTGATGCCATAAATAAAGGTATAGCCGATAACAAGTGTCGACCTATGGGTCTCTGTTAGCGCCATCCCATCAGTCAAGTGAATGGCGTTGACCTCAAAGTTAGACCAATAGATGTGTTGACCAAAAAAATCCATTGAAAATGATTCCGAGTATAGATTTTGAGAGACTATTATTGTCTTAAAATTGAGTTCCGAATAATTCACAGAATACAAGGTGTAGACCAGTGTATCGATCCAATAGACTACCTGTCCATCAATATCCAGGGCTATTGTTTCTGGTTTTTTAGTCTATGTTGAAAGCACTGTTGGTTGGGAGCCGTCCTGATTGGCCCGCATTATACTACCCGAGTATAGATTAGTAACTGTATTACAGCGCCATTGAGACCACATCAGTAGTCCGTGTATGGGATCGACGGACACATCTCCCTGTATATCGTTGTGTCGGATCACATCATAGCTATAATACTGACCATCGGTGCGAACGGCAATCACTTCCACGCCTTTATATACCGATATATAGATCAAGTCGTGGATCCAATCGATGGCCAATCTCTCGATTCGATTCGAAATATATTTCCGATTCAACAGTTTGTGAGGTTTACTAAACACGGATGGCTTTGTCGGGTCTATTGGGGCGCCGAATAGGGACAGACTGTTGTCAGACGTATTGCTTTCAATCCATACAATGATATTTTTGTTGTAATTGTAGTCAAACTCTGAGAACCAATTGCTTCCCTTTGAGTACATTTTAACGGATTTGTTATAATAGGTGTTCACGTCATACGAGTTTGGTTTCAAATAAATGCCTTTTTTATAGACAGAAAACAACAATTTTGTTTCATTATCTGATAAAGTGATCACAATATTTACACAAATTATCATAATGCACAATATTTTAAACATGGTTGTAATTATTTTGATTTTAATATTATATCTTAGGCACACATTAATCTCGTTAAATGGAAAAACAATCAAATGTTGCAATAAGTAAATTACTGAATATTCTACTTATTTATATTAAACGAATGATAATTTATCTATTATTAATCGATTATGACATGTATTGTTAAATCTTTATAAAAATGACAGATATTCAAACAATTTAACTAATTTTTGTCGTGTTAATAATATTGTTTGTATTATTTTTGTTTCCATTATGAACTTTTACAACGAGTTAGTAATAAATGGTTCAAATTTTATTATTTTAATTATAAAATTAAATCAAATTACAATTTAGACAATCAATCATCAGTATTACAATCACTAAATTGCAATTATAAATCAAAGTAAAAATAATTAAAATTTATAATTGTATGAATAAATATAATGTTTAGATTATTGAATTTTAAAAAATAATTTTTCTTATATAATAATTTAGTTGATATTTATAATCAATGTACTCAACCAAACACTTACCACTTAATAAAGTACAAAAATAATAGCCATTATGACACATACAATCAAATAGTCATTTTTGCTGACAAACAGTGATAGGTTTGAAACATTAATAGAATTAATGTGTAGTACGGGTTCGTCGGTACAGATTGTAGTAAATTGATTGGCATTATTAGAGCAAACGCACCGATAGTCTCGCTGTACGGGTAGACACATGTGAGCGCAGCGGGAGTTTGAGCACCGGTTCGTGCCATTCATCTGCCGGCGACTGTCCAACACTTTCACGGCATAGAAATCGGTGTAGGCGTTGACGAGTGTCAACCATTGGGTGCCGTTTATCACCTGATTGTTAATCACTTGAATGATATTATCAAAATAGTTAGACCAATAGATGTTTTGGTCGAAGACATCCATTGAAAATGTCCAATAAAAAAGACCCAGCGATGGGTTTATTGTCTTATCCAAACCCGTATAGTTCATTGAATACAAGTTACCGTTTATTGCATCGATCCAATAGACTATCTGTCCATTAATGTCGAGAGCTATAGTAACGGGTACTTGACAGCTATCATTTGATAGCATTGTAGGGTCGGAACCGTCCTGATTTGCTCGCATTATTTGACCCGTGTAATCACTTTTGAACGGATAAGTGTACTGCGACCAGAATAGCAGTCCGTGTGTGGGATCGACCGACACATCTCCCTGTGTTTGGTTGTGTTGTATCACATCATAGCTATAGTACTGGTCTTTATGGCCAATACTAATCACTTTAATGCCTTCGGGCGCCGATATGTAGACCAAGTCGTGGATCCAATCGATAGCCAATCTCTCTGACGTGTACTGTTTGTGTGTTTCAAACAATTTGTGTGTTGTGTTAAACATGGATGGCTTTGTCGGGTCTATCGGTGCCCCGTATAGGTATAGACCGTACAGCCATAACATGATATTTTTGTGATAAATATAATCCACCTCGGTAAAAATAATATCTGATGTTGAATGTAGTTTAATAGATTCACTATAAGTGGTGTTCATGTCATACAAGTTTGGTTTCAAATAAATGCCTTCAGTATAGACAGTGAACAGTAATTTCGTTTTGTTGTCCGATAGTGTGAACACAATATTCACACAAAATGTCATTAGGCACAATATTTTAAACATGGTTAGTGTTATTTTAATTTTAATCTAATATCTTAAGCGCACGTTAAATCTCGTTAAATGCAATAACAGTTGCAATAAGTAAATTACTGTATATTCTACTTATTTATATTAAATGAATGTTAATTTATCTATTATTAATCAATTATGACATGTACTGTTAAATTCTCATATATAGGAATAACAGATATTCAAACAATTTGACTAATTTGTGTCGTGTTAATAACAATGTTTGTATTATTACTGCTCCCATCATTGACTTTTCCAACGAGTTAGTAATAAATGGTTCATGTTTTATTATTTTAATTATAAAATTAAATCAAATTACAATTTAAAAAATCAATTTTTAGTATTACAATAACTAATTGGAATTATAAATAAAAATAATTAAAACTTATAATAAATTGTTTTATAAAGTAGACTAAATCAGTTAATTATCAAAAAATTTAAATTTAATTATTTATAATTTTTATTTTAGTGTTAATAAGTTTAATTTTAAACGATAATTGATATTTATAAAGTTAATATTAACAAATAATAAATATAAGTCTAATTGAGTGGACTAAATGTTGTGACGATTGAGATATTATGATCACAACTCGTTGTTAACAATGGTCTATATAGTAAAGAGCGTTATCCCCATATCTTTGTTTTTACGAAATTTGGCCCAAAAACACATCAACAAAACATTTGAAACTGAATTTAAATAAATTATTTATTAGTTTAATATCACAAACACTTTAAATTAAATTTGTATTTATTTTACGTACATTTTTCCCCGATAAATAAATATCGCAATTAACACAAGATTTACTTCAATTGATACAAATGCGGTGACTATCCATGTGATGGGAGTTGTCTATAAAATACAATATATTTAGTAAATATAACTGACCATAATTAAATAAACCATAAACACTCACATCATGTGAAGTAACTATCGGTAAACTTAATAAACAGATATCGATTGAATTGATGTGAAGTATGGGTTTGTCGGTACAGATCGTTGCAAATTGATTGGCATTCTTATCACAAACGCACCGATAGTCTCGCTGTACGGGTAGACACATGTGAGTGCAGTTTAAGTTCGCGCACCGGTTTGTGGTATGCATTTGCTGTCGACTGTCCAACACATTAATACCCGTTATGGTGTGCGGGTATTTTAACCATTACTGTTCGGTTGCATTTTGAGCAGTTCTATTGAAAATATAAACTTAGCTGTAGTAATCGTGTGTCCAATAGATGTTATTCCCAAACATATCCATTGAATAAATGCCACCAAAATTGATTATATGAGCCACTGTTTTAAAATACATTCCCTTATAATTCATTGAATATAAAATACCATTTGCCAATTCTAGCCAATAGATTACTTGTCCCTCAATATCGAGGGCTACAGTTCTGGGTATTTTTGTATTTGTTATATGTGACAGCACTGTTGGGTCGGAGCCGTCCTGGTTGGCCCGCATTATACTACCCGAGTAGTGATCATTTTCCCAGTTAAACTGCAACCACACCAGTAGTCCGTGTATGGGATCGACGGACACATCTCCCTGTATATCGTTGTGTTGTATCACATCATAGCTATAGTACTGGTCTTTATGGCCAATACTTATCACTTCAATGCCATCGGGCATAGATATGTAGACCAAGTCGTGGATCCAATCGATGGCCAATCTCTCCGATTTGTGCGTCAGATTCAACAATTTGTGTGGTTTGTTAAACATCGATGGTTTTGTTGGGTCTATTGGCGCTCCGTATAGGGACGGGCCGTTCGACACATGGCTACCCAACCATATGATGACATTCTTGTTGTAATTGTAGTCAATTTCATAAAAAGCATTGCATTGTCCGGAATCCAGTTTAATGTATTCATTTAAATTGGTGTTTGTGTCGTATAAATTTGGCTTTAGGTAAATGCCTTTCCACTGGAGAGTGATCAACAATTTAGCATCGGTGGCCGATAGAGTGACCACAATATTGACGCAAATTATTAATAGAAATAATGTATTAAACATTTCGCAGTTTTATTTTACTCGACTGTATTTTACACGTGAGAGACACAGACATCTGATTATTTTGTGTTGTTATTACATTATTTTAAGCTCATATCTAAACTTCTATGATTCGTGTAGCTGTCATTATGAATAACCAATTCATCGATGGATGATTAAATTCAATTCAATTAGACTTATCATGCTCAAAAACTAATGCAAAAAATTAATTTGTTTAATCAATGTTAAAACAAATGAAACATATAAAGTAATAACCCCGATATTAATACCATTAGTTTTATTTAAAAAGCATTGTTAAAAATAACTTTTACAATTAATACTTTTGAAATATTTTACTGCGAATTTTTGTTTATTTTATATTTAATAGTAATCGGTCACATTTATAATTTAATAATAAATTAATCAAAATTGTGTTGATTTATAACAAATTAATATTGCTTGTCTTATTGTGAATAATATTTAAGATATTTAGGTTAACATCAAATTATTATTATTAATACTGTATTATTATTTTATTGTGTTTTGCGAAACAAAATCTCATAAAATACTGAATTATCATTAGATGTGAGTCTATTTAACACTTCATTAAATTCCTTGTGATTCGCGACAACAGTCTTATTGATAGACCACTTGTTATAGTCGGCCAACACTTCCTCACACTCAGGCCTTTTATCCCATACCGGGTATGACATCATTGACTGTAATATACGGTGCAAACACACAACCGGTGCTCTTAGCGGGTGATCCTCCGGATATGTATTCAATAAACTGATATAACATTAAATTAAAACAATTATAAACTAATTTTCAAATATTAATTTAATTAGCAATACTTACTTGTCGTTAACATTTAGATCAAATAACATTTCGCCGATTATAGCCAGGCTATAGACATCTGATTTGTGGCCATATTTTTTACCAGTGGACACTTCGGGCGCTTGGTAATGTATTCGCCCTCTGTCTCCCGTATGCTTATATTCAGTCTTATAGTGCAATTTTGGGTCGTGTAAAGTGGCCAGACCAAAGTCACATAGTTTAACAAACCGGCCGTGATTGTTATTATCATTACTTAAGCCATGTACAATCAGTACGTTATCCGGGCTTAGATCGCGATGTATTATCTGAGGTTTTAATTCATGTAAATACTGGACACTCTCTAAGAGCTCTTTGAATATTTCACACGAAATGAAATACTCAAACGAATTCATGGGTTCGGCCGCCGATTGTCTGCCAAATGCCAGCGCTTTGTCGGCCAATACTTTGCGCAGGTTTTGCGGGCAATACTCCATCTGAATGTACAGTTGAGTGCTGTTGTCGTCGAGCCATGAATTGTGATACTGTACCACATATTGTGAGCGCACTTTTGCCAAACATTTCACTTCGTTTAACACACGCTGTTTGTGGTCATCACTAAATGCTGTCAAAATGTAATAATGTATTAAAATATAAACGTGATTAATTAAAACATTAATATGCACAAACTTACCTCGAAAATTGACAATTTTAATCGCGTAAACGACATCATCCAACTTATGTCTCCCCTTATACACTGTGCCGAACCCTCCCCTCCCTATCCGCGACCACTCCTCATATTGTGATTCAAAATAGTTTTGATTTGTTTCGTAGTATTCGTCTATTAATAAAATTTTAATATAAAATTTGTTACATTTTAATTCAATTAAACTATTACGATTTACCTTCGCTTGAATTATCGGGCTCAGTTACACCGGGAGTTGTCTGTACTGATTGTTGCGATTTAATAGTTACAAAAGTGTCGGACACTGACTGTTGATTAGCTATAATTTCAAAATATATATAATGAATCATTATTAATGATTATCATGATTATATAATTTATAATTATCATCAATAAAATCACAATCAATTGTTTCCGCTTCGCTGTCTTCTATGGTAAGGCTGGCCATCGGTTGTAATACTTCTTTGTGTAGTATTTGATATTTTTCATCCATTGAATTATCATTGATAATAATTTTGCTTTTATTTAATAGATTTGTCGAAAACTCACAGTCATTCTTATCCATTATAACGTGGTTTAAGTGTAGCCGATGTTTAGATGGCAAAGTTTCAGACATTTCATACACTGTCTGTCGATTGTCTATGGGTTATAAAAAAAATTAATTAATTACATGTATTTATTATAATTAGTATAAAAATTATTAAAATTATACCATCATTGTTTTGGGACACGCTATTAGTTAGGCTATGACTGTCTGTTAGTTGAAATATGTCTCTGAAGTCTCTTTTAGATGGTTTAGAATAAGAAACAATTATTTTCTCTTTTTGTTGACTTTTGCTATGACTGTCCATTCGCTGAAATGACTTCTCATTTACTGTTTCTTTATTGCCATCACTCGACTCGTTCTCATTATTACAATCGTTATTATTTTCATGTGATTTTATTATTGGTTTTTCACTGATTTCTTTCAAATCAATCGTATTATAAGTCAATTTGTATTCATTGGCGTAAAAGTCAATAAAGTTATTATAATTTGTTTTAATGATTTTCTCTTCAGTTGATATTTTATAAATAATATTGTTAATTAACACAAAAATAAATTCATTGCTAATATTAGCGCATGAATTGATTTGTTGTAAATTTTTTGAACACAATTCAACTAAAATTTGTTTTGGATTTTTAATAATCAATTGTTTGTTATTTTCATAATATTTTCCGCAAAAGTATAAGCCGTTTATTGTGTGAAAATATGTACCAAATAGTGAACAAACTATGGTTTTCACATCACTTATGGTTGATATCAATTGGGGTTTCATTACTTTTTTATCGGGAATATTGTGTCCCAATCTATGGCCACTATTTTGACCCCAACTGAAGACATGTCCGTCGGATGTGATGGCAAACGACGAGTCGTTATAACAATAAACGGATTGAATGTTACATTTCTTGAATTTAACCTCAATGGGCACAAACATATCCCTACCATCATCACCCAAACCAAGTTGACCAGAATGGTTTTCACCCCAGGCATACACCCGGCCATCACTGGTCAGCGCCAATGAATGTGAATAATCACAACTGATTTGAATAATATGTTTCCTATTAAAACATGTGATTATTTCTGGCCGCAAATAATGATCATGGTCATCACATTCGGCCAATTGCCCGCATTGGTTGCCACCCCAACTAAATATACACTTAATATCATTGGTGGCTAAAACAAATCTGTATCCATTGATAAAGTATTGGATGTTTTGATTACATAATTGTTTGATTACTTGTGGTGTTGAGATCGGATGGTTGTGTCCAAAGCCAAGACATCCATTGCTATTATTGCCAAATCCATAGACCATATCATCGTTTGTCACAAACAGTACATTTGGTTTATTAATCCAATCGTTAAAAACGTGTAATTTTGAAATGTTTTTCGGGATTTTATCACAAAAGGAAAATTTTTCTAATAATTCGCACATTTTTATAACAAATATTAAATAACATTACAATAATTTTTGCATTTTAATTAATAATTACATTATTTAGAATTTATAAAAATGTATAATAAAAATGCTGTCTGAAATCAGGCGTTTCAATACAACCAATTCATATCTATTCGTATAATAAATAATATCTCAACAAATGCCTTGACTTAAATAGGACTAAATATTCAATACAATACAATAGCCACTACTATAATAAAATACGATCATGGGCATTTAATCTGTTTAGTAATATAAGTTATAATTGAATATTAACTATTATTAGAGTATACTGTATGTATTGTATTTAATGATCAAAAATGTTCATTACTAATTAATAGTTATCATTAAACTTTTTGCAATCAATATCATTTACTATCAATAAGGGTGAACATTTTATTCATGTATGTAAGCAATAAACTGGTTTGTATTGACAGGTAAAATGTATCGCTCTTGGAATCATCTATGTCATTATTAATGACTCATTAAATAATTTTAAAAAATAGTAAATATTCACTATAAATGTATTGTTAAGATAAATGCATTTTAATAACTAATGTACCTTAAGGTATTTATAAATCATTATTAATGCTCTAAATAGATTCAATAATTTTAATTTAAAGTTGGTATTTTTATTTTTAATAAAACTATGAATATTATTTAAAATATTAATATAATGTGAGTTTAGTTACAATCATAATTAAAAACACAATAGAAATATAGTGATAGTTAACCCTATACGCGTATTTTGGGTGTTTAGAATCCCAGAGCAACTTTAAAAATCAATTAAAAATCAGCGGTTTATCCTATTGTAAAATAAACTCAGCAATGCCTCGAAAACAATATTAATTATAAATACAGAAAATTTTAGATTTTTAAATTTAATCTATCATATTTTAATTAACAATTGGGTAATTATTATCCCATACGACGCGTAACGTAAGTTTTAATACTCTAGTATAAACAGTGCTAATCATTGTAGGTGTTGTGCTCGCGCATGACGTTGTGCTTGGGGAACTAATTTCCCACTGTACACGACGGGTAGTAAATTTGCGACTTGTAACCAAAACTACAATTACATGATTAAACACATGACTTATTGCAAATGTTTTAGTACAAGTTACTCAATTTAATTAATACACATATTTTTAATTATTAAAAAACCATATAATTATAAATTATTTATGGTAAAATCATGGCAATTATAAATAAAATATTTTAGAAAGTATTTAGCATAACATCTTGGTTAAATAAGAGTATGCCTATATGGCCACCCAACAAATGGCCACCCTGCAACCTTTGTTAGGCGGTCGTTAGGTCGACCCAAATACCGACAACAATCAAAAGTGACAGGACCTATACAACGTTTTTTCCGTAAAATGTTACAATTTTCCGGAAAATTTTTTATTAAAATTTTTAATGTAAAAATGTCATTATTAGTTGTAGAAATCTATTATATAATTTTTATTAATTTATTTTTACAAAAAACTTATTTTTTTGTTTCCGTGGTTATGAAAAATTTGACGGAAAAAACGTTGTATAGGTCCTGCTACCTTTGATTGTTGTCGGTATTTGGGACGACCTAACGACCGCCTAACAAAGGTTGCAGGGTGGCCATTTCCCAAGGGTGGCAGATTAGTCAAACTCGTTAAATAACAAATATATTGTATACAAATATTGTATATGGTATATAGTGTACATAAATACAGTATGCGCTATATACAAAATAAGCAGCATTTTAGCACACAGTTTAATCATATGCTCCAATATAATAATGATCGTAGATATAACAATGATAATAATTGATAAATCAATAAAAATATAGTTATAAAAATACATTATTTGATTTTACTTAAAAGGAGGTTTGGATAGGGGGGAATAATGAAACAATTGAATGTTTATTTTGTAAAACGCAATCATATGCAACAACAACATCTACACTGACTCAACAAACATACTCACTGCTGGGATATTTATCACTCACTGTACACAGTTAAGCATATATGGGAGTTTAAACTCCCAATTTGCACACTATAGTGATGGGAGATTCAAATCCCATGATAATCGCAACGTTCATAATGTTTGCAGACGCTTAGAGGGTTAATAAATGTTAGAATCCGTTGAATTGATTACAACCCGTCGTAATTTGTATTGTTTCAAAACGTGTTAACTATTTGTGCAGTTTATACGTTGTTTCGGTCGAAAGTTAACTTGTTTTTGTGTTCAATACAAATACTCTCACAATTCAAATATTTAACTAGTCTTTGGCCCGTTGTTTAAAACATTCATAAAAAACGTCAATTTAAGCTATACTAAAACCACTCGTAACTCAAAAACAGTAACGTTTTTAGGTATGATTTAATTGGAAAAATCACTTTCAAACAAATATCAGTAATATGAGAGGGTGTTATAAAAAAGTAATTTGTTTACACCAATATCTTAATATCCATATGTGCTATCGCATGGCTGACCACATGAATCGATTGTGTGAACCAAAATACATTCATTGGTAAAGAAAACATTGAAATCTGAGTAACTTTTTGGGCCCAAAATGAGCTCAAAACTAAAGGTTTTTGTGAATTTTGAAATACCTTGGCTAAAATGTGTTTTTGAAAAATGTGGGGCAAATGTGTCATGGAGATATTTGTTCGCACGGCCGAGAAGTGTTCATACCTGCAATATAGTTTACATTTTTTGGTAAAAAATTAATTAAAACCAGTGCCCTTCGGGCACAAACAAGATATAACCGTTGTAGCAAATGGCAGTATGCAGACGATAAAATATTGATATTTGTTGTTGACTATGAAGTGGATAGTTGTGTTGAATTTGATGAGTTTGTGGTGACTGTATATTAAAGTATTCACAAATACTAGTTTCGTATATTAACATAACCCAATCTACAATATGTAAATATGGTGATCCGAGTTTACAAGGACCAAACCCAACCTACCCTAACTTACCACAACATAACCTAAATAAATTCTAATAAATCTTAGTATTAAAAATACACTTTATAATATATTTCTATGGGCTCTGACTCGGGGTCTCTGTTTTGTGTCCGTTGTCTCGCGGTATCAGGCCAGCTGGCTTGCTCTAGGAACCTCTGTCTACCGGCCTCGGACTTGCAATTTTTGTGCTGTAATCTCTTAATCGCGGTTTTTGTCTAGCGGTCATTTTCGCGGTCTCGCCGTCTCTGGCTCGCGGTCAATCCCGCGGTGTTTATCGGTCAGTCCCGCAGTCTCTGTTTAGCCGTGAGTCTCGCGGTCTCGCGATCTCTGTCTAGCGAGCAGTCCCGCGATCTGTCTAGCGGTCAGTCTCGCGGTCTGGGTATCGCGCTTTCTGTCTAGCGTTCAGTCTCACGGTCTCTGTCGAGCGGTCAGTTTTGAGGTCTCGGTATCGCGGTCTCTGTCTAGCGGTCAGTCCCGCGGTCAATCCCGCGGTCTCTCTAGCGTTCAGTCTCGCGGTCTTTGTCTAGCGGTAAGTCTCGCGGTCCCGGTATTGCGGTCTCTGTCTAGCGGTCAGTCACGCGGTCAATCTCGCGGTCCCGGTATCGCGGTCTCTGTCTAGCGGTCATTCCCG